CCGCATCCCCCTTCTGTTCTGAAATTTGATTTGTCCTTTTCATATGTGTTCATTTTTTTTATTGTATCCTTTGGTATATATGGTTGTGACTATTTTCTTCCACTATTTGATCTGAGGAAGTGGGTCTGGCCCACGAAAGCTCATCATCTAATAAACCATCTTGTTAGTCTTTAAAGTGCTACATAGTCCTGTATTTTGCTTCAAATAAGCATACTGAGGGCATAACACTATCTCCAGAAAAAGTCTGAAAAAGCTTGCTGAAAATACCCCAGAAGCATGAAGCAGGTAATTTCATATGGCTCAATCCCACAATCTACACATGCAAAGCTACTATACTATTGGAAGTCACTGGAAGATTTCCCTCTCAAAATACTGCCAGACTGTATAAATAGCATCCTTTCTGAGCAGACTGTCAAGTATCAACTGCATCACATTTTCATATTCCTACATGTTCTGTTCCTAAAAAAACTCCTTCCATCTTTCACAATAATTTAAAATACTAGCAAAACAAATTATGTATATTGTAATTTTAAAATTTCCATTGATTCAGGGGAAACTGGCTTGCCCTCACATTTCACTGAAATGTTTGGATGAAGATACTAATTAGAATGTTGCTGACATTTTTGTTATTATAGCTCAAATGAGAGAGATTATTAATATTTATTTATTATTATTAATGGTCCCAGAAGTTCTATAATGGAACGAGAAAAAAAAAAAGATCAAACAGAGTTATCACTTTTAAAAGCCTGAATACGTCCTTCAGATCACTACAGAAAGAGACATTGTAAAGAATCATAGAAGAATTCATTAAAGTCTGACTTTCATATTATTTAAAATACATATTAAGAGACCCGTTAGGAATCAGCAGCAACTTCTGCACCTTCAGAGCCCTGGCTCCCCTCCTCTATGACCTTTGTCCTTCCTTTCTGAGTCCTGCCCCACTGCGTATATAGATTTTGGCTTTCCCCCCATTTCTGTGGCTCTGGTCCTTTCCATGAACCTGCCCCCCTTTCCCCGTGGCTCAGTCCTTTCCTATGGGGCTCGCTACCCCGTCAGGATGAGCTCTGTTCCCCTTTTCTGTAGCTCCCCTTTCTAGGAGCTCGATCCCTTCCCTTTGAGCTCTGCCCCCCTTGCTACAGGCGCTGCCCCCTTTTGGGGAGCTCTACCCCTTCCCTGTTAACTCTGCTCCCCATTTCTATCCAGCTCTCTTCAATTACAGACAGTCCTCGAGGGGCTGGAGGCCTCTGGCGTCTCTGCGGAGCATCCCTCCGGCCCGACTGGCTCTAGCCCGCCCGTTCCCACGGCCCAGCCCCTGCCGCAGCTCCCCCAAAACAGCTCGCGTGTGCTGCCGCCACCGCCCAGCAACATCGCCGCACGTGGCAGGGAGCCAATCACAGCTCAGGGGGAGCCTCCAAAGGCCAATAGGAGAGCGCCGGGGACGGGCGGGAGAACGTTGGCGCTGTAGCCACTGCCTGAGAAGGCAACAAAAGCGCGGGAAAGGGCCGGGTGGTGGTAGGAGGAAGAGGTGGAGGGCGGGGGCAGGGCAGCGAGGAGTGGTGGGGTGACCCTGTAGGGCTGGGGGCGCCTCTCTCCATGCGGCGGTGCACTCAGGGCTGTACGAGTGTGAACTGGGCGAGGAGATTGAACACCCACGTGCTCCTATGTGCGGTATCAAAAGCCCCCTTCTGCCTTTCACGGGCATCCCAAGAATTAAAGGGCTGGTGCCTTATCCCTTCTTTCTGAGGGACCCGGTGTTCCGCCGAAGTGTGTGGCCGATGCCAGGGGAAGCCCAGGCTCCCTCCCACTGACAGTCGCACTGCGATCTTGCTGGGCTCCGGAGCGGGGTGCGGAACTCGCAATGAGCGCAGCAGGGAGCAGCGTGTTTTAAGACAGTGCGGTCTGCGAACACAGCCCTGCAAAGCCCGGCATGCAGCGTGGGGGCCCGCGGTGAGCCATGGGGAGCAGGGCAGGCC